AAGCGTGAATTCCATCTATTTGCAACCTATTCCCTCCCACTGTCAGGGTCATCCCAGAGTGGACAGGGAAGTGGGGCACACAGGACCCACTTCCCTGGATCAGCACACAAGGCCGGATCTGAGGGGGCAGCAGGCTGTGCCCGGATGTCTCAGGCCATCAGCAATTCCCTGAGGTCTACCAGGAGCTGCCAGGAGCAGCCAGGATCACCCTGCGTCTGGCATGGGAGGGCCTTGGTTGTTTTTCTTGCTCCTGAGATGATCTTGACTTAACCCTGTTCCAACCAGCACCCGTTCTGGGGAAAACATTGTGCTAGCTGCAGTAGGTGGTAGAGAGGCCACAGGTATGTCACCTGTCTCCAAGCTTCAGACTGCTGTGGGTGGATTAGTGGAGAGCAAAGATGGCTCTCAAACAGGATGGAGGAGCCAGGTGGCAAGGGACAGGGAGACAGCACTCTGAAGTGACAGACAGGGAAGCAGAGAGCCCGTGCTGGAGGTATCCTTGTGGAAGAAGGCCAGCCAGGGTGGCTTGGGGACCCCAGGGAGCTCTGTTGTTCTGGAGGCGGGTGGGGTCTAAGGGTGGATGCAAGAAGAGCAATTTATTACTAAAAGTTCCAGTAAAATCCCTCAGAACAGATACCTGAAGCCAGCAGCTGGAGTCATAAATGAGGTGGCTTTCCAAGAGTGTGGCTGGAGAGCATTGTCGCAGCTGTACTAAAAGGGGAGGAAAATTGGCAGACAGGGCCAAGGCAGCACCACGGAAATGGAAAAGAAGTCCAGAAAGGGATTTGGGTGGGTCGAAATGGAACAAAATCATAAATGATCCTTGACAGGTGTGTGTGTAAGGGCGGGGGTTGCAAGTAGAAGGATTTTTTTTTTTTTTTTAATTTCCTTGTGGTAGTTAATTGTAGACGCCAACTTGACCGGATTAAGGAATCCCTAGAAACCTGGAGGAGCATTATTCTGTCTTCAAGGGGGCTTCCAGAGGATGTCAGCCTGTGCGTCTGAGTGGATGGGGTGGGAGGACCTACCTTCAATGTGGATGGGTGCCACACCACCAGCCAGGGGCCTGGAGAGGATAACACAGAGGCAAATCCATCTTTTCTCTGAGAGATGGGATAGACGTTTTTTTTACTCCTTTGGACGTCAGTACTCCAGCCATCCCGCTTTTGGACTCCACCTCTCTCATCAGAACCCCATTGCTCCTTTGAGCTCTCAGGCGAGGGCCTCAGACCAAGAGACACACTAGTGACTTCCCTGGTTTGAAGCCTCCAGACTTGGACTAAGCCACACTACCAGCACCCTAGGGTCTGCAGCCTGCAGATGGGACTACTCAGCCTTGGTGATCACATGAGACAATTCCCCTAGTAAATCCTAGGTACCTGGAGTATTCAAATTCAAATGGACAGACAGTGGAATGGCTGATACCAGGACTTGGAGGAGGGAACAGGAATTACTATTTCATGGGTATGGGGTTGAGTTTGAGATAAATAAAGCTTTTTTTTTTTTTTTAAATAGATTCAAAAGTTGTGGAAATAGATAGTAGTAATGGTAGTATAACAATGTGAATATTCTTATTATCACTGCATGGTACTCTTGAACGTGGTTAAAAGGGTAAATATTGCCAGGCGCAGTGGCACACATCTCTAACCCCAGCAACTCAGGAGGCTGAGGCAAGAGGAGCACAAGTTCAACACCAGACTCAGCAATTTAGCAAGGCCCTAAGCAACTTGGTGAGATTCTAATTCAAAAAAAAAAAAAAAAAAAAAGACCAGATTTCACTCAGTGGTAAAGTGCCTCTGGGCTTGATCCAGTATGATATATATATAGATATAGATAGATATAGATATATAAATAACATTAAATTTTTTGCAATGTGTATTTTGCCACAATAAAAGAAGTTAACATGGAAAAATAAACAAGCCAAGAATATCCAAGATACTTCTAAAAAAGGAAAGAAGAGATTAAACACTTCCAGACATTAACATCGATAATAAAAACTCAAGAATTAAGATAGTGTGGCCCTGGCGCCTGGTGACACAGCCAGAGCATTGAGACAGAACAGCCCAGAAGCAGGCTCCAACCATCGGAGACTTTCCTACTTGAGAACAGTGGCATCTGGGAGCCGGCGCTGGGAATCACAGGAGCCATCCAGAAAGAACAATGTTGGATTCTTATCTCATACTTACAGCAGGAAGAACTCAAATGCAGAGAAGATTTCAGTGCAAAACATAACCCCGTGAGGGCTGGAGGGAGCCATGGGGGCCTTGCAACCTCAGAGGGTGTACGTTGAGCTGTGACATCACGTCAGTCCTCTGCCTTCCCTGGGCCTGTGTCACAGGGGTGGGGTACGCCTGGTAGGAACTGATATGTGCCAAGGCCTGAGGACAATGCCTGGCACACACAAAGGACTCAGCAAGTGACCATGACCTAATCAAGACCACCCTCACCCCATCAAAGAGGAGGACGTTGTTCAGACTGGTGTGGGAAAAGTATCAAGATGCTAACTAAGTGAAAAAAAAAAAAAAGAGCGATGTGTACAATATACTATCCTTGATTTTACAAAGGGACCGCAGGAAAAAATTCACATGTGCATATATAGCTACTTATATTTGCAAGGGTACATTCATACACACGTGTACCTACTTATATTTGCAAGAGTGTATAGTCTCCCCCCCACCCTTTCTCACACGCACTCTAAACATCTGTGGCCAGACTGTGGCACTGAACAACTCCAGGGGGCACAATCCATTGTATTCTATGTCAATGGCATCCCGGGAGCTCAATACAAACAGTGTCCCTGGGAGTTGTGCAGTGTGGTCGCCCTGCTAACACGGCTGCATGAGGGTAACATATCTTTTGGAAGAATACAGAGAATGAAATAACACTGGTTGCCCGTGGGGAAAGGCATGTAGGTGGCCTGGAACACAGGTGAGAAGGAGACTTTGCACAGTACAGTCGTGGTGGCCTCTCAATTTGGACTGAGTACATGTGTAATGGAATATTCCTCCCCCAGAGAGTAAATAAAAGGAGTTGTAAAAATAAATACACACATATAAAAATAATACATAAAAGTAACAGTACACATCAGAGAACTGGGGAGATACCAAAAATAATGAAGGGGGAAAAATCCCATTGAAGCATGATTTTTGGTTTCCCCTGGTCTCTGTGTTGACTTGGGTCTGTCTGGACACAGAAGTATAGCATCGTGTGGGCCAGGAGTGGGCAAGCTATGGGCCCTGGTGAGATCTGAGCTATCGTTTGTTGTTGTTTTGTGTTACGAGGGATTGAATCCAGGGGTGCTGTACCACTACACTACATCCCCAGCCCCATTTTAATTATTTTATTTTGAAATAGGGATTCACTAACTTGCCAAGGGTCTTGCTCAATCACCCAAGCTGGCCCTGAACTGGCTATCCTCCTGCCTCAGTCTCCCAAGTCACTGGAATGACAGGCATGTGCCACCACACCCGGCTTTCCAGCACCTTTTATATTTTACTTTGAGGCAGGATCTTGCTAAATTTCCCAAGTTGGCCTTGAACTTTCAATCCTCCAGCCTTAGTGTCCAAGTTGCTGGGAATACAGGCATGCACCACCACTCCCAGCCCAGGTGTCTTTTACAGAGGATTTCTTCAAACCAGGATCCAGTCGAGAGCCATGCATTGCATTTCTGTGTCTCTTCTGTCCCTTAGAGATTATAGCAGGATGTACTCCAGCCCCCGTCTACCACTCCCACCCCCATTTTCTTTAACCATGACTTGTTAAGGAGACCAGCCTGGATAAACAGTATATTATATAGCTGAATGATTCATACTTGTGCACCTATTTCCTTATTTCTGGATGCTTCTGTGAATTTTAATGCTTCCCTCATATAAACAACGCTGTTTTCCTTTCAGTGCTGAGTATCGATCGGATCTTGTCACAGCGACATAAGCTCTCACCAATAACTACACCCCCAGACCTTCTTTTAAAATTTATTTTGAGACAGGTTCTCATGAAATTGCCCAGGCTGGACTTGAACTTTGGATCCTCCTGCCTCCTCTGGAGTAGCTGGGATTATGGTATGGCCACACCTGGCTTAAGTGGACATTTTATGAGAATCAGTAGTGTGGGGAGGTATGTCAAGCTACCTAGTGATCAAGCCTATCCAAAGAGCTGGGTGACCTTGGGGAAGTCACTGTACCTTTCTGAGGCTCAGTCTCCTCCTCTATTAAAAAAAAAAAAAAGACAGAAAAAAACCCACAAATATTGGTGTTGGAAATATGGCTCAGTGGTAGAGTGACTGCCTAGCAAAAGCATAAAGCCCTGGGTTTGATCCCTACTAATGCCCCCAAAACAACAACAACAATAAAACCCGTCTACCTAACAGTTTTAGGATACTAAAACAAAACATCGGTCTGTGTCTCTACCAAACTCTGTGAGACCTAATTTCTGAATGAACATTTCATAATGGGCCTCTTTTACTCTACTAAAATGAAATTCATGGATAATACACTTACAAACATAATTCCTTGAAAAAAAATGATGCCCAAATTATGACATAAAGGACAAATAAATATATACAAATATGGATTTCAATCTGTGGATGCCCTATCATAATTCCACTAGAAGACATAAGAAAGAAGTGAAACGATAAGGTGTACAGAATGAGGTGTAAGAATGTATTAGTTAGGTTCAGGGTGTAAGGAAAACCAGGGAGCAGAGATACAGGTGTTCACTACAATGAGAATAATGTCAGGACAAATTATAACAAACAGGACCCATATGTGTATGTCATGTGTGATGAGCAATGAGCATGCCTGGAATCAGCTACTTGGGAGGCTGAGCCAGGGGGATCACAAGTTTGAGGCCGTTCTCTATAAGTTAGTGAGATTCTGTCTCAAAGTAAAAAATCAAGGCTGGGGATATGGCTCAATGGTAGAGCCCCCCTGGGTCTCCTCTCCAGTAGGAAAGGAAGGAAGGAAGGCGCAGAAAAGAAGAAAAGAAAGAATGAGAGGGGGGCTGGGGATATAGCTCAGTTGGTAGAGTGCTTGTTTCGCATGCACAAGGCCCTGGGTTCGATCCCCAGCATCACCAAAAAAGGCGGGGCAGGTAGAGGGATAGGTATAACTGAAGTAAGAATAATGTACCAAGATGAATTAAAGACAATGAAAGTGGAGAAACTGAAGGAAATATTCTCACAAGTAAACCAGGCCTCACTTACTAAAAAGTGAGGCACTAAAGCAGCCCCTATGCTATGACACAAGACAAGGCATGCTGTCCAGTCTCTGAATGTCCCAAGGGACATTTGAAAGTCATATGAGACAGGACAACTATTCTTTGGGTGGGAATTTCCTAGCGGAGTGGGAGTCCAGAGCCCCTGGCATCTCCACTGGTCACCAATAATGGCCCCTTCCAGAATGACAACCCAAACAATTCTTTTGAGTTTTCAAAACACCCTGAAGGGCAGGTCCCCCGGCCCCTGCCCCGCGCAGAACCACAGATACATGTGAAAGCAATTTGAAAAGTTAAAAGCACTCTTCAAATATACAGTGCAATTAATCTACAAAAACTCCAGTTATTTTCAGAGAATACTGTGTATTGGTATTATTTAAATGAAGACTATTAAATTATGAAACATGACAGTTTTTATTTTTTTTTAAGTTTCAATGGACTTTTTATTTTATTTATTTATATGCGGTGCTGAGAATTGAACCCAGTGCCTCACACATGCTAGGTAAGTGCTCTTCCACTGAGCCACAATCCCAGCCCCTGTATTTTTAAATTTTTTATAAAACCAATTCAGTTTCTGGGAAAATGGCAAACAAATCAATATAGTTATTGAAAGTAACTAAAAATCCTGTATTAAGAATAATTTCTTGGGGCTGGGGTTGTGGCTCAGTAGTAGTGTGCCTGCGTAGCATGTGCGAGGCACTGGTTTGGATCCTCAGCACCACATAAAATAAATTTAAGAGCTGGGGTTGTGACTCAACGGTAGAGTGCTCACCTAGCGCGTGCAAGGCCCTGGGTTCGATCCTCAGTACCACATAAAGATAAATAAAATAAAGGTATCATGTCCAGCTACAACTAAAAAATAAATATAAAAATAATTTTAGAAATAAAGATATTGTGTCCATCTACCACTTAAAAAAAAGGAAGAAAGAAAGAATAATTTCTTGCTGGGCATGGTGGCACACGCCTATAATCCCAGTGACTCAAGAGGCTAAGGCAAGAGGATCACAGGTTCAAAGCCAGTCTTAGCAACTTAGTGAGGCCCTAAGCAACTTGGTCAGACCCTGTCTCAAAATAAAAAATAAAAATGGCGGGGATGTGTGAGGTAAGCATTCTCAGGGGTGGTACAGAGACACGTGGAGCTCTGTGGTCCAAGGGCAGCTGCTGAACCTGGCAAACTGACCCTGTGGTTATCTTGGCATCATAGAACTTGTAAAAGAGGAGACAAAGCCCAAGTTCTGCTCAAATAAGTGACCCTCCAGCACAGAAATGGAACATCTCCAAAGTCTGTATCCTCAGTGTAAGGGTGAATTTAGAAGGATGGCCCATCCTCACCTAGAGACTACAAAGAAAATCTCCCTCAAATTTGCACTAAAGAGCAGAAGGTGTGTGTGTGTGTGTGTGTAGGCATATGTGCCAGAAATTACCATAAAATGTTCAAACCACAAGCTGTCCATGACATGGTTTATGGGAAAAAAAAAAAAAGCTGCCCTCTGGGTGGTCAGGATACCCCAAATGGCAAATGTGACTGGAGTGATCCCAGGAATAGCAATGCCTCCAGGACCTGGCAAGAGCAAGTAGCAAGTGTATCCTCTTTATAGGAAGCCAAATTTATCCCAGACCTCAAAATATCCCACATATAAAATATCAAGGAAAATGATCAGCCTAAAGTTAAATGGCAGTGCAAGAGACAATGAAATGAACTAACCACAAAGTGGAGCTACTAAGGAGAAGCAGCAGAGAGCAGAACAAACCTGTAAGACTGCAGACCCTGCAGCAAGAAGATGAGACCCTAACAAAGTAACCATGCTTAGTATGTTTAATAAGAATAAAACCCATTCGTGGAAATACAAGAAAGCAAAAGAAACTGTAAAACATAATTGAGTGATTTTTTAAAAGAACCAAAAGACTCAGGGGAAGAAAAGAACACAGAGAACAGATGTACTAGAATAACAGCAAGTGAAGATAAAAAGAGATATCTCTGTCATCTACCTATTCATCTCCATCATAACGAGATTGCACAACACCAAAGACAAAGAGAATATGTTAAGAACGGTGAGAGAGAGAAGACAGACAACTCACTACTCCTTAGCAACAACTGAAATCAAAAGACAATATGATATCTTCAATATGCAGAGAGAAAATGATTGTCATTTTCAGTTCTATATTCATAATGAAGGTGGGGGAGTCATTTTCAAACACACAAAAATTGAGAGAGAGGTTAATACTAACAAACCTTCAATTTGGGTAGAAGAAAAGTTAATCCAGATGGAAGACGCGAGGAGAGAGAGGAAATAGTGAAAAGTTGGTGAAATATTGATTGTACAAAGTAACTATAATAATAGACTCGTGAGGTTGAAAAGAAAAATAAGAGACTCAAATGCACAACTCTAGCATGTACGTAAAGAAGGTATAAATGGAAGTTGTAAGGTTATTATATTTTTCAAAAGAAGGGTAAAATTATTAAGTAACTGATTTTGGTGAGTTATTTGCTGCTATTTCTAGAAAAATCACTTATAGGATAGAACCAGTTCTTAAGCCAGTGGAGGAAAAATAATGGAAATGAGGAAAATAACAAATCAATTTAGAAGAGGGAAGAAGTATAGAAACAGAACGGAACTTTTGGGAAAGTCAAACAAAAACGTGAAAGTTATAAGCCCAGAAATATTAATAATCATGACAAATATAAATCAACTAAATGTTCTAGCTAAAATACAAAGCTGGTCAGAATGAAATTTTTAAAAAATCCCATCAGGCACTATTTCACACACACACAAAAATTTTATTTTTGCAGTACTGGGGATTGAACCCAGGGACTCTCTTCCAGCCCTCGCCCTTTTTATTTTTATTTTGAGACAGGGTCTCCATAAATTGTTAAGGTTGGCCTTGAACTTGTAATGCTCCTGCCTCAGCTTCCAGAGTTGCTAGGTTTACAGGCATGTGCCACCCTGGCCAGCAAGAAACACGTAGAAAATGAGAATATATAGAGTCTGAAAGTGGGGGATGGAAAAAGTTGTAATAAGAAAAGGGGTACTGGGTTTAGCTATGCTAATATTAAGCAAAATAGCCTTAAGGCAAGAAGCAATGCTAGAGACATAGAGGGTCATTTGAAATGTTAATTCAACAGGGCAGCTGATTATAAACTTATACATTCAATAGCTTTCAAAATATATTAAACAAAAAATTGGGGCTGGGGCTATAGCTCAGAGTTAGAGAGCTTGCCTAGCATCTGTGAGGCACTGGGTTCAATCCTCAGCACCACATAACAATAAACAAATAAAATAAAAGGTATTCTGTCCATCTACAGCTACAAAAAAATTTTTAAAAAAATTCTTAAAAGAAATTACCAAGTGCTATAGTTTGAATGTATCCCTCAAAGTTCATGTGTTGGAAGCTTAAAATTTGTTCATGCAACTTTTTTTACTTTTTTTTTTCTTTTCTCTTGCAGTACTGGGGATGGAACCTAGGGCCTCACTCATGCCAGGCAAACATTTTACCACTAAACTGCACTTCAGTCATTTAAAAATTTTTTAAAATTTGAGATAGGATCTCACTCAGTGGCCCAAGCTGGCTCTGAATTTTCAATCCTCCTGTCTCAAACTCTCAAACAGCTGGGATCACAGGCATTTACCACCTCACTTGCCCCCATGCAAAAATGGACCTTTAAGAGGTGATTAGTTCACGAGGGAGTTATGCCATTATTGTTGGGGTGGGTGATTTATCACAGCAGTGGGTTCCTGACAGATTCAGTCCCCTTCTTTTTTTCTCTCTCTCTTTTTCCTTCTCATGTATGTGCTCTTTTGCCCTTCCATCTTCCACCATGGGATGATGCAACAAGGTACCCCTTGCCAAATGTTGGCCCCTAGATCTTAGACTTCCCTGACTCCAAAATGTAAAGCCAATAAATTCATTTCTTTCTCTCTCTCTCTCTCTCTCTCTCTCCCTTCCTCCCTCCCTCCCTCCCTCCCTTCCTGCCTTCCTTTCTTTCTTCTTTCTCCAGAGATTGAACCCAGGGCATTTAACCACTGAACTGCATCCCCAGCCCTTTTGATTACTGGGATTATAGTCACGTGCCACTGTGCCCAACTTGTGCCAATACATTTCTGTTAATTATAAATATCCAGCCTCTGGGCATTCTGTTAATAGCATAAAAAAATGGATCAAGACACTGAGAATTAAAAAAAAAAAAAATCAGCAATCATATTGGGACATTTAACACGCCTTTACCATTCATTGGGAGAACAAACCGGGAAAACAATCATCAGTAATGACTTAGAAGATTTAAACAATAACTTTAATACAATTGACCTAAATGGTCATTATGTCAATTCAGGAAACATGCCAAGATAGGACTAGACAGGCCAGAGGTTTATTGGGGAAACCACCTCTGGAGGAGGGAGGAGTGGGCAGAGGGAGCCCTTATGACCTCAGTGTTGATCTGAAGGGAGTGGGAGAAGGAAGGAGCATTGTATAGGAAGAGTCTCTGTCTCAGTGCAGAGCCATAAATAGCATGGCTAGGAGGATGGGGCACCTTGGAACCAAGGTTCAAAGGAGTCTCACACCCCATAGAAATGGGCCGGAACTCGTGTGCCAGATGAGCTCATTTATTGGCTGGGAGCAACCCAGGGAAGAGTGATCCTCGGAATGTGTGGGTGGATCCAGAGGAGCAGCAGGGAGAGCTGAGTTGCACTTGTTGGCCACACACTTGGAAGCGCTGAGTGCAACGCTTTCATTGCCACCCCAGACACAGTTAGGACAGCTTAGCCAACAACGGCAGTCACCTTCTTTTCAAGCACCTATTCAATATTTACAAAATCTGATTATACACAGGATCATAAAGCAAAGCAAACTTCCATGCTCTTTAT